TGCAAAATAATCAACAGATCGAAGTAGACCCGATGTAGTAGACCCGATCGAAAGCAGTACAACTGTTTCAGTTCTTTGCATTCATGTATTTTCTGTAGGCGCCTTTAAAGTAGACATCGCTTTCAAGAAAACTATGCTATCTCTCTATTTCCATTTATTAATTATTGCATAATTTAGATATGGACTTTAACGGTCTATTTTTTTTTGTTTTTGGTCGCAATATTTCTTTTTTATTCGTTGAATAAAAATTAGTGATAAGAATAACTTAATCTTGTATTGAAAGCTACCATTCCTTACGTAGGATGAGAGGTGTGTAGAGTTTATTCAAATATCTTACCTCGAACACTTCATCTAGAATTTCACTGTATAAAGAGCAAGCAATGTTTTATATCGAAGTGCATTACTAATTCTTCATGCTTACTTGTGGTGTAATATTTTTATGGTATTATTGATTAAATTTGAGTCCAAAACCATCTCTTTGGCACAAATTCTTATCATACTCACGCTTTTGATTAGTACTTTTAGAAGCAAGTATCTTTATTATCCAGTGAGATTGCAAAAAGGGGGTTAACAATGATGACATTTAAGAGATGAGGACGTATTATGTATTAACATTTTATCTGTGATGTAATGAACTGTAAAAATAAAAATATTAAAAATTTTGAGATGCTTCTAAATCATCACTAAGTACATATATCTATATGATATCTAAACTGTCAAATAAAGAAAAGTAAAATAAAATTGAATATATGGTTATTCCAACAGTTATTTAGCTGAGCTTAGGAATGCTCAAGTGATTGAGGAAAGAGTTACTGATATAGATTACGCCACACTTTAAACATAAAGAGGTGCTACAATAGAAATAACAGACGTTACCAGGTTTTTTCAAAGTGAGGCCTATAAAGCGTACCCAAAGAAAAGAGTGATTGTGCCAACTGCTACCAATTCCTTTAACTCATAATTCATACTGAAATCACAATTCTCTTTATTATATCGTATTTTAATACTTTAAATAATTAATATATTTAATATATTTTCTATTTAATCGGCTTACAATATAGATTTTACTATTAATGTCTTTGAAATACTGTTCATTTTTATTCCTTGTATCTTTTATAATTTACACATAGATGTCGCTAACGATAATTGTATGGAAAAACGTTATTTATTAATCATATCTGTATGAATAAAATATGGACTATCTATACCACTATTAATATCTTTTCTATTGTATAGACTTATAATACAGATATCAAGAAGGTATTATTGAAGGTATTGTGGTATGGCTTTTCTGTTTTTAATATGGGATTTTAATATAGATATCACTATTGATATGCTCTCTGAAATATAGGTTTATAATTAAGACTTTACCATCTATGATTATATCGTTAAAACTTTTTGTTTTTTGTCATTCTTTTTCTTACATAGGGTTGTGATATAGAAACCAGTTATGCTGAATATATTCTAAGAACATATTTTATTATTATTACTAACGTAGCTCTGTTACATAGATATCACCATTGACAGGCATATGCCTCGAACATTGTTTATTATTCGTCCTTCACTAACGCAAATGTGTAATGTAGATTTCGCTATTGATGAGTATATCTCAAATAGTACTTCTAGCAGAAAGTAGCTTATCTACTCGTACTCGTATCTTCCACATTTGTTATAGATACTCAAATTAAAATGGATTCAAAAATAGTTACACAATATTAGAAATTTTGAAGTTGGAGCATTTTCTTAAAGTGCGTACCATAAAAAATCAATAAAATTCTTTCTTAAAGATTCTTAAAGTGAAATCTGGCTACTAAATTTTATTTATCCGTCACATATCTATATCTGTTCACAAACTCATTTTTCATTGGTTAAGTTGCATTGTTGTCAAGAGCGTTTATCAAACGCGTGGCATATCTTTTCAATAAAAGCAAATTTCTTCAAGTCAATCAAAGATTGAACAATATTGATGATTACCATTGAAGTGCAGACTGCGTATAGATTTGCCTTCCTGGTGAAGTGTTGTTTTGTGTTTAAGACATGTTGACAAAATATGCATTTTATTAGAATCAGAAAATAAATAAACTGAAACGACTAAAATAATCAATACACAAAAAACAATAGAATGACGCAACTGAAATTGACATTAAGTAAGATAAATATTCGTATTAACTAAGTTAAAAGCAACTGCTTAATAACACTTAGTAAATGTACTTAATAATCCAACTAAACTAATTTTGTTAATGGTTAAAGTGAAGAAAGTACACTTAATGTGAAATTGATAAGAATATTTCCTTTCCATAAATGCTTTAATTTAAATTTTAAAGTTCAATTCTCAAAAGAAAAATCCTTAAAGAGAATTTGAACTTTGAAAAACAAAACATTTTCATAAAAAATTCTTGAAAAATCTTCTTTTCCACAATAACATTTAACATTCAGCGTTTTGTCTATCTGCATTCTAACAAGCCATCAGCTAAACCAACGAAAGATTCAACCTTCCACGTATCGCACTTTAAAATTATTTATGCCCCAATTTTTCATTGTGGAAAACAGTAGTGCTATTTGGCCACAAATTCGTGCAATGAAGTGTTATGCTTTTACCTAACAAGATGATTACACGCCGCGCTTAACCTCAAGGCATAAATACAAATCAACGCTTTTCCAGCACTTAAGCAGGCAACGGAGAACTTGGCTTAAACGATTTCGAATTGGCGCAACTGAAATTAACCAGAAACTTTGGTTAGGAGCGGTATTTCGTGAATGTTCGAATTCTCCTGTTGCCTTCATGACCGTGAATTTAATGCCAATCGCGAGTGAACAGGTTTAACTCTTGAGGTCAGATGCATTTTGAATACTTCATCCATTTTCTTCTTGCTTACTTCCACCATAACGGTTACTGTCATATATTTGTTGGTGTGTTCCAATAATTTGTTATTGCCCCCATGCATATTCCTAGATTTGCACGTACCTAGAAGTATTGGTATAAAGGAAGGAGCTATCTTTTTTTTTTCCTCAAGTTTCAGCAATAAGTTTAAAATGATTACAAGTTGATTACATCTTTAATTTGTAGTTTGAGGCATGAATGGCTTATCTTTATGATTGCATATGCAGTAATATTAATATTTCCATATATGTTTGCATATACAACATCATACATTTTATAGTTAAATCGTTAGGATATGAGAAATTAGTCAACCCATGCATTCAGCACATTTCTCTATATGTATGAAATCAATGGAAATAAATTATAATGAACTTGCTTTCTAAATCGCCATTCGAAATGTATTTATAATAATAATGCAAAGTCATTTATAAAACAATATATAAATATATATATTATTTATATTTTATTTATAATTTATATATACCATATATACCCTTTAATCTTTTGAATATTAAAATATATTTTCTTTATGTAGAAAAGCACTATATAAATGAATATATATTAAGATTTTCATTTTAATTTTACTTATTCTTTTTTATATAATTTTATATTATTTATTTTATTTGTCTGGTCATTGGTATATAGGAACCCACATAGAGAAGCTACGCATTCCCCATAATCCTCATTTTATTTTATTTAATATTATTTTATTTTTTATTGTTTAACATAATTTAATTTTAGTTATTTTTTATTTTTTTAATTTTATTTTACAAAATTTTTTTTTTTTCATTTTAATTTTATTTAATTTTACTAAATTTTATTTAATTTTATTTTATTTATTATGTTGATGCTAGTTGAGTCAGTACACTTGAGCACTTTTATCTCTATTAACTGTGAGATTTCTTCATAACCCTTAACTGGATTATTGTTTATCACTTCATCAGACTAAACAATAATTGACCTCAGTCTGCTTACCTCCCCGAGGAGCCTGCTACCATTCTGAGATTTGATAACGCGGTGTTGATAATTCTGTCAGTTTTCGCAAATAATTTCAGGGCCCTATCCTTTTTTTTGTATTTTTTAATTGGATCAATCTTGAGGTCCCTGAGAATGTCATTCGTTCTAATGTACAATGGTACTTTGACCTCAGTTCTGCTTACCTCCCCGATGAGCCTGTAACCATTCTGAGATTTGATAACGCGATGTTGGTAAGTCTGTCAGTTTTCGTAAATAATTTCAGGGCTCTATCCTTTATGTATTTTTTGATGGGATCAATCCTGAGAATGTCATTCGTCCAAATGTACCATGATACTTTGAAAAGTCTCCTCAGAGCCTGGCTTTGTGCAATTTCTAGCTGGCGGACAGAGTGTTTGAAGTTTTCATTTCATTATTCAATTTTATTTTATTGAAAAATAAATATGAAAATTATGTAAATCTTTGTGAAAACAAAGGTCTGACCTCAAATTAAAAGAAAACAAGCTGAGATAAAACCATATATTTTATATTTGCAGATAATTTTACTGCGTTGATGACAAAAAATGATTTGAGTTAATTTGTTTACTTATTGGATTAAAAATTTTGTTGGGGTATAGAAAAAAATAAATCATCTATCCCATATATTTGCCACCATCTACGATTTAATATTATTAAATATTCATGTCAGAACACCATTTCGAAAGATCATTCTATGGCGGTACACTTTGCCCACGGATTTTGCTGTCATTATCACTAGTAATGGCTTCTATTGAAGCCAGCATCTGTATATAACATTTTCACATATCTCTGAAAAAATATACACTTGATCGTAGATCTGTTCCACATACATTGATGGTGATATTGCAATATTCTTCATTTTTGAATAAGTACAACCCTATTATTCCAACATATCTCTCTACTAAACAGTATATTATTCACTATGCGAACTGATGTATCAGTTTTAATTTTTCTTTACAATTTTGAAGAAAACATAAATCGAAATATTCTTTTTTCAAAATAATAAAAATACAAATGTATATTTTATATTTTCAGGTTTTTATTTTTTATTCTTAATATATTTTAATGTTTATAGCAAATACAATTTTAAAACGAATTAGAATTTATATATATTGCATTAGTGGTCCATTCAAATATCAAAAAAATCTTAATCTTTAATCTTTCACAAATATCAAAAGTTAGTTATCAAATAATTTCCAAGAAATTCATTTCGTCTCACTTGCACTTATATACTAGTCTTGATTAAAGACGGACTTCTGAAAAGATTATTATTATATTTCTTTATTCGTTTTCTTACCAAACAATTACTAAAGCAGTAGTTCATAGAAACACTAGTCAATTTTGTGTAAAAATGACACCCCTCCTTCGTCAGACAAATTATTCAAATCATCTTCATGAAAACATTCATTATTATCCACCTCTTTAGTAAAAGTGAAGCGTTGAAAGAGGTCCACTCTATGTGACAAGACAGGAGTCTGGTCGGTATATAAAGAACGTTTAGGAAGGAAATCGGAACACCTGCCAGCGTTATTTGAAATAGAATCCCGAACAATATTCTTTGTGGCGTTTATTAAAAAATTCATGTCTTCAATTTTAATCTTTCACAACCAATATACAAATATATAATAATATATTAAAAACATTGTTATTATAAAAATAAATAATTATAAAAACAAAAAACATATTATGGCATATAGTTACATATATATACATATATATATATGCACATTGAAGTATGCATATACGTACATGTAATTAAAACTTTTTTGACCAAAATAAATGGATTCTAAAAATGCAATTAAAAAATTTTTGTCCAAACTATCCTCAATTGACAATACACTACTCGGATATCTCAAAACTATACTGCAGAGAAAGAGATACAATAATTTACAGTAGTTTATAATAATATTATCATAATAATTTATAATAATATTATCATATTAATTTATAATAATATAATTATTTTAATTTAACGTCCATCCACAAGTTTAAGATAAATCTACAAGCTTAAGACAACAGAACTATAGCATTTTATGGAAACATTCGACATATTTATATGCGTTTTTGCTAATTGAAATCAAGCAATATTAATATATATAAATACTTTTTAAAATTATCTCCAACATTTTTTGTTTGGGAATCAATTATGAAACTTTGTTTTTCGATGCTCCCTACATATTCAATACATATAAAACTAACAGTGAATAGGTCTCGGAATAGAGTTTCAGCTAGAAATGTACTTAAAAGGGTTTACAGATCAAAAACTAATAAAATTGTAGACCAATCTCATATATAATTTTTCGCTTTAAGGTTGAGCTGTTCATTCAGTTCAGCTACAGTATCCCAGTAATGTATAAGAATAACAAGGACACTCCATCCTAACACATCGAATTAAATTTTTTTTCGATGGAGTTTTTATTTTTATTTATAATATAAAATTATCTAACAACACTTACTACAGTTCTCTCGATCATTGGTGCATAGGAACTTATGGAGAAAAACTACGAATTCTATTTAAACCTCACTATAGAAATTATAGAAACCTGTAGGAAAAAAACCATGAAACATTTTGTCTGTCAATCGGACATTAGGACTCTAACGTTCAAAGTAAAGAGAAGTAGTTATTTGTCAGCTTATTAGACCCCGTAGAGACGAAAGAGCTATTGAGTTTTCTAAATACAACTGGATGGATTTAGTCTGTGCCCTTTTATTTTACGGTTTTTTGCAAAAAATGTGGTAGCAAAACGGCGATAAATCGCTATTCAAGGAAGATTATCTTCTAGAAGGATAATGGAAGGTTAATTGTTGGCCGACCACTGCAAACCACCAACCAACCAACCACTAACATCAGTTGTTGTGATTAGTAAAGAAATTGTAATCGTAAAGATTTGTTTCATTCTAAGCAAATTAGTTCCATCGATTTCAAATTGTTAGAGTAACCAGTCATAAGAAGTTACTTCATTATCAGAAAGCAAATTCTATCCATTTTAAAACATCGGTGTAAGTAATATCAATCAATGATATATTTTTTTATTTTTATTTTTTTACTCATTTACGCACTTCAATATTAAGATTTTTAAACTTAATTCGATTTCTCTAGATTTCACTAGAGACAATCAAATCGCTAGCTCATCGATTCAATTCGGAGGTGTGCTTAATCTCTCAAGTACCCCTTCTAGAATTGAGTTTCAATAGAAACTTAGGGAAATATCGATTAAATTTCTCAGTATATTTTTAAATTTTTCTTTTTAAGAATATATTAGTTGGTCTTTCCAAATATAAACTTTGAATATCTAAAGTGCAGTAACTAGTGTATATTGTGAATATTATATATATTCCATCAACGCAACACTTCCAAATAAAATACACACAACAAAAATGAAAGTTTCTGTTAAAACGAAGGTAAAGGATATATTAAATAACTTAAAACTATGTAAGGATACGCATCAGCAGGATAGATTCCGCGTGAAGATAACACAAGACTCCATTAAATATATATACAAAACCAAAAATATTACCAAAAAAAGGAAAGCGCGTTAGGGATAACTTCCTGTAGAGTGTAAAATATGATATTAATGGAAAAACAAAAAAAAAAAACAATAATCTCTTCATATATTTTTTTGCTTTCATACTTGATATCTCTTTCAACTATGCGTTAAATTTTGCTTTGAGGTTAAATATAAATTGATACCGTGTCTGGGTTTCCACAGGTTGGCAGGATGCTTTAGTGCAGCTACGACTTGTTTGTTGTCGTGAAAAGTTTCATACACCAAAGTCAAGGACAATGAAAATATCCTGAAGTTATGCACTAACAACTTTAAGGAAAAAATATGTTTAAACTTGAGTAGTTGTTGTTGTAGTTGTACCCGGAGCGCATTACCCAGTAATCATGGTATTTTGCATGTGCTGGGTACTGTGGTTGAGTGCTTGAATCGTTAGCATTGTGAAGAGCTTAAATTGTGGTTTTAAATTAAAATATTTAATAATAATTTTATAAATTATATTTCACAAATAAATTCTTTTATATAGAATTCAATTAAATGACTAATGTTGGTTATAAGAAGAGCTTAGTGCTAGTGAAGTGTAGTAAATTATTTGCAGATACTAATTTCTCAAGTGCAACCAGCGTGTCAAGTATAAATCTAAATCACTTCATTTACAAATGCTGAAGTAAAGTCCTTTAAGATTTTTGTACTTTAAGCCCTTTGCTTTTAATTGCCATTTCTAATTAAGACGATTTTCTTATGATAAATTTAAATTACTTTAAGTTTATCTACAGGGAAATTGGTGAACTATTGAAGCTGAAATATTTAATATAATTTTAAGTATTCTGAAATCCTTTTGTATTAATTTACATGCCATTCTTTGTGTCGTAGCTTATAGAATTTTCCGATTAAAATTTTATGGCAAACACTCAAAGCATTTTTGTGGCATTCTTGATTCTGGCAAGTTAAATAATTTGAGAAATTTACTTAAAATAATTATTTTATATTTCAATTTATATTTGATAAAATACCTAAGCTATAATGTGAAATACTATCCAAATGAACTTAAAGTATTTAGCACTTCAAATATTAAAGACTTTTTACAAGAGACTTAAAACTTGTTTCAAATATTTGAGATCTTTTAATTAAACTAAAAATTAAATATTCTTTAATATTAATAAATAATAATAAATAAATATTACTTAACAAAATACAATTATTTAGAGAACTGTAAAAACATTGCCAAAAAACATATTTCCTAGTATAAGAAACCCCATCCCTTCTGGTTAAATACTAACTGCACTAATACTTCATTTTGTTTTTGACATGTTTATTCCTTTATTTCATTAATTTATATTTAATTATTAATGTAATTAATTATTTTATTGGCCAAAAATATTTCATTAGGCTTGTTTCTTGAAAATAAGTGGATAGTATTAAAGACCACCGTGTAGGGTGGTTAATTCTTAACAATGAGTTATAAAGATAACTGCTAATAGATTTTACTGGTCAAAACTCTGAAAATCTCATCTTAATAATGTTTACCAAAAACAAAATTCAAATAAATTTAAATTTACCTAGCTGGAAATGTGTGGAAAACGTTAAAGGAACTACGTCAAACTGGGGAAGAGAATTGAATTACACATAAAGATTTATAGGTACCAGCTCTATAAATTTACTATATGTTTCATAAACTAACTGAAACGGAAAATTATAAACCTTCAAAGCAATATGTAAGATATATCAGGGAAGAGGAGAGAGTATTAGAGACTTAACAACATGAAAAATGTTGGTCTCAAATAAATGTGGACGTTTATGAAACTAAGGTGTATATCCCCTAGAAGGTAGAGGTGTTAGGCATTTAATAATAACAAACCAATATGGAAGCTTATTAAACTGACTGAAACCGACGTATTGAGTAGAAGGAGAGGGTATTGCATATTCTTTCAAAAAAGTGAATTTCAGTGATAAAGCACTGTTTTAGACTTAGTGCGGATTATTTATAGCCCACCTGTTACCAGTATATTGTATAACATTTAATACGAAATAAAATAAAATATTTTGAAGTGGCTTTAGGCCTCAAAATTTTACCCTTTCATATATGATTAGAACTGAACTATTTTAAAATTGAAACACAAGTCTATTAATGGCTGATTGGACGGACGTTTAACCTATTGCAATCTAACAAAATTCTGACATACAATCAAATCTATCTTCGTGTGATTGCGTAAAAAAAATATATAAATCTACCAAATAGAATTAAGAAAATATCAAGCTATGGGGTCTAACAACTAACACGTTCAAATTATTGCTATCTAACAAAATTTAATCAAATCTATTTTGATATATGACATTTAGTGCTTCCGTTATGACAATACATAATTCTATTACATAAAATTTTGCACCAAAACAATATATAATTCTACTAAACAAATATAGAGCTATAGGGTCTTACAACTATAAGGTAAGTAAAAAATGTTTATCTGCATAGTAAACTTGAAAGTCGCCAAGCTATTTTTGTCATAACTTTGAAGAGAACAGTTGTTATCAGAAGCAATACACTGTTGTAAGTCCAGAAGTAGACTCGAAAACTTCCCGAGAAGTTTCGTTTCAAACTATTGAAAGTATTTAAACTACCCACTACCTTAATATTACTAACATAGAATTGCTTGTTAATTATTTTTATCTAGTTTGTGCTGTCAGTATTATATTTCTATCCGGAAGATGACTATAGACTAAGATTGAAATATCGGTGACAATAAAATATATTTTTTAATACTAATTTAAAAAGTTGCATACTATTTAACATTGATTCATGGTAAAAAAAATGGATAAAATGGATAATAAAAATTATATCATTATAACATTAAATTTCTTATTATTATAAAAGCTTAACCAAATAAAAAAAAATACATATTGGACAATACCTATATAGTCAAAAACCTGTTCTTAACAATATTGTCATTACCAAATATATATAAGAATAACTTAGGTTCTCAACTCACCTCCAAATATCCTCAACTATAGCTCCAAATGGTATTTCCAACAGTTAATTTTGGTTAGCAATCAAATAAGTTAATTTTTTATTAGAATTTGTCTTCAAATAGAAATTTATATCAATTAATAAATCCAATTATTGTAATAGTATTTCTAACTTTACTTCACTTTAAAATTTCTATCAGCCGAATAACTTATAAATTTGAACAAACTGCAAAGTCAATTTAGTTCTTTCGTTCAAAAAGTTTCTGTATCTTACTATACCACAAATTTTTTTCAAAAGAAAATCATAGTATATATATTGAATATAGTTAAATTTTGGTAGCAATAATATCAAAGCGTGCTTATGTTCATCAGAGAAACGTTATCCGATATTAATATTTCTAGTGCATTCACTATTAACATATATAAGATACATCCAAACACGTTCTTAAAATAATTAAAATTGAATCGTTTTTATGGTTCAAAGTTTTTACTAATCTTTACTGAAAATATAGAAGCATAAACCGAAACAAATCCAAATTCTGAGCAAATGAACGTTTGAATTTGCATTTACACAGCAGAACGTACGTATTCGGAAAGATTCTCACATAGCTAATTTATACAGTTGTATCTGTGCATATCCGATTTGATAACATAATATTAAATCTAACAATTTTCATAAGGAAAACAATATGCACATTTAGATTTACATGAGCAATTTTCATTTACATTTACAAATTAACGAAAAACAAATATGAACACAAATACTACAAAATGTTAGCACACTTCCCCCGCTGGTGCTCTGTTAACGGATTTAGTAAATACAACTGATACAAAATACTACAACTTCCACTAAAGATACTCCAACAAACAAACTAACAAACCTACAGACGGACATTTAAGTACACAACTAAATATGTAAACACAAACGCACAAACTCACAGACACTGAGATAAAGAGAGACAGACAGACAGACGGACAAGCAAACAGTGTAAGTTTAGTTGCATTTAGCATTAGTAAGCAAACAAGTATTGCAAAAATATTATAAAGTGTAGTACTGCAAAAGTGCAGAAGAGCAGAAGTGCAGAAATGCATTTAGTCTATGAATTTTTAGTGGCTCATTTAATTCCAACAAGCACTCATACAAATGCACAAATGTATTATGTACCATATACGTTAGCAGCTGCACACGCACTATCATCGCCATCGACATCGACGTCGACTATCGTAATGAAAATGAGCATTAATGCGAGCATGAAAATTAAAATGAATATGAAAACACAATTAAAATTATAATTTCAAATGGAAAATTAAACTTTCACAAATACACGCGAAGGGAGAATAGGGATCCCCCGCATCCCGCCCGTATCGCTGCGTGAATGGCATTAGTTGCAAGTGTCAAATTGTTAACAATTTACGAGTATATGATTCCCGACTATTTTTATGCAAATATTAGTTTGTAATTTTCGAAATGGAATTTGGGTGCATTAAATGGAAATGCGTTTTATGGCAGAATTGCATTAAAATAATTCGCATTTTGTAAAATTACTTAAAATTTAAAATTAACAACCGAACACGCAGTGTTTTGTGTGCGATAAAAACACATTAAATTTAATGCAAAATTAATTTTGTAACAAAACATGAATTCTATACAAAATTGTTTTGGTTAATCCATTTAATAGAAATTCAGGTATTACTACAGACGATAGCTACAGATATTGTTACGAACCAGAACACATTCTATGTCACTGTCACTGAGTCTCTCCAGAATCAGACTTCAGTACTTATTAATTGCCTAACCACTTATAACGGAATTAGGCAACATCTCTCCAAAGGACATTTTATTTAATTAATGGACTATGAATGCACCTCAACTACTAAAATAATTAAAACCCAACTAAAAGAATTCTAGACTATTTATAAGTAAGGACTAAGAACCCGCTTTCAAGATAATCGAGTCTACGTGTTTCCGCCACTGGGCAGTTGCATAGAGTATGTTTTGATGTTTCCTTCTCCTCAAGACAGAGTCGACAGGAATCACTTTCTACCGCACCTATAAGCTTCATGTGGTAATTAAGTCTACAGTGTCCTGTAACCGAAAGGACATAATAAAAATGGACATAATAATAAAGAACGCTAATCCTTTATTAGCGTTCATAATAGCCTTAGCCATTTCTGGAGCAACTAATATTAAAAAGGAACGAAACAATTTCCAAATACTTCAATAATAATTAGTGTAACTATAAGTCCACATAAAATGGTAACTAATAGTCACAAAATAAATAGCTGTAAGTCGGATGAATAAAGCTAATATTATAAAAACAACGAAGAGATAATTCAGCTTTAAATCACCAAGTATACAGTTTCAATCCACAGTTGCCAATTAATGATTGGAAACCACGAAAAAGAAGAGCTCATTGAAGAATTGTTGTGAAGATTAAATGGTATATATGGAAATTCCGAACCACAAACTTATCAATTAGTGATTTTAAATGAGCATTTTGTGATTAAATAAGTTAAATTAATTATCTTTAATTCAGATATTATTATAAAGATGTAAAGACAATAACAGTAATTACTCGCCAAATGTACAACTCTAACAGCTCTAACTGTCTAAAATGCGACAGACTCTCCAATTAATATTTACAAATCCAGTACTAAGAGAGATATTTTAGAAATCACTGGGAGCCAAATCTGGAGAACATAGTGAATGAGGAAGCAATTCATACCATAATTCATTTAATTTTGCCATTGTGTTCATTGATGTGTGAGCGAGTACGTTATCCTGCAAAAACCACATTTTTTTCTTCAACAAATGTGGTTGAGATATTTCACCTGAGTCCCACAGTAGAGAAACCAAAAACTTTTCAGCCGATTATTGAGTTTGTGGTTGTTTGAAAGCACCATAGTATATGATCTATTAACATATGTAAAATCATTCGTTATCCGCACCTATTATTAACACGGAGTACTGAGCTCATGCAGTTTGACAGAAAGTCGTCTGTATACTGTATTCTATAGTTAATTTTTAAAAAGGAACTTAATTAAAAAAACTCTCACATGCTCCGCATTATATTGTCTAGAAGTATATTTTATATATTACCGAATAATAAATATCGGTGATATTTATTAAATATTAAAATAGTAAATATTAATATCATTAATAAATAATAATAATAATATTAATATTATTAAATATTAAAATAAATATTTTAAAATATGTATATTAAATCAAATAAAACATTACTATTGAAATGTTATCTATAGTTGGAAAAATATTATGTCCAAGATATCAAATTTTAATTATAAATATTTTTAAATCTTATTTTCCCTACAATTTTGTAGAACTTCTACAACTCAACTCCATTTTAAAAGTATTATTAAATATTTTAAAATAAGTTCCTTTCTCATTTTTCTGAAGATTGTTGTAGAAAGCTTTACATATTTTCACTCACTTACTCTAATACATATTCTATTCTATTCTATTTTATTCTATTCTATTTCATTCTATTCTATTCTATGTATTACAAATAGAATTCTTTAAATTCGTTTCCATGGATAAATTCCATTTAATGTATTTTGTATAACTTAACGGTCTGACGGCGTGTGCGTCTTATTATACAGTACGCATAGAAAACCCCTTCCTTAAGGGGGAACTCAGACAGAAGTCATTGATGCCAATGTTGTAAACTATGCGAAAAGTTGTGAATAATTTGACAAAATTCCTGCACAATGTCAGTTTATATTTGAATTTGAATTCCAACATTGAAATTGTTGTTGTACGAGTAACAATTGTGTTGTAGCAATTCGCACTCCAACACAAACTTTGTTCACTGCATCAACCGTTGGCGTACTTAACTTTTGCATGTGTGGAGACATACTACATAAGTATTTTGTATCCTTGCGCTACGTTGTATACTAAAGCATATCCTGACAACGAGAACATTTGTTTCAAATGAATTTTATATTAGTTTTCATTCTTTTCCCACTACTTTGCGCACATACGATATTCAAAATGATGACTATTCATTTTGACTCTTTGGTTTAGTTCAACTTGGACATGAATAGACAAATAAATTTCCGAGCAATACTATACATTGCTCTGCAACTTTTGTGAATTTACTTAAAAAATCATTTAATATGAAATATAATCCTTTAAAGTAGATATGGTTAAGTTTGGATATGAATCTGTGAAATATTTAATGTAGACCGCCTATGAGATTTTGGTTCTATGATCTTCCTCATCTAGTTATAAGTGCTACCTATAAAGGGTGTGTATGCTTTATATATTCTTAATTCTAGAGCCTTCTGCACCATTCATACTAATATATTATAATTGTCAGGGCCAAGGACCTAGTAGTTCAGTTTCTTATTCTTAGTTGACTTTAAAGTGAATTTTATAATAGTGTCAAGATTTTCCGACTAGATCAGAACTTAACCCTTGTTTATAACGGTTGGACGTAAAGAACTAGATAAAAAAGACAAAAAAGAGTTCCACTTAAATTAAAAGAAGTGTCAACTTGATTATCCCTCCTTTTATATTTAGCAGAGACCACTGAGACCTAAACTCAAGTCTTTTTACACGACTGTCTATTAGATAAAAATCGATTACAAGGCTGATAATATCTCTATTTCAGCAAACAGAGGTTTGAAGTGAAAACCTGCTAATTCTTCCTATTTCTTTTAACACAGCAACCGCAGAGATCAGCAGTTAGAAATTCGAGTCTGTCTACATGTCTGACTATTAGATAATATTCTATTGTAAGCATGATAATAATTGCACATAATGTACATAATGGTATGAATCTTTTTTGCTGAAAGAGTATGAACCACAAATGGGAAAGTGATTGGCAACGAATTATATACTAATATGTTAGCTAATATGTACACAAAATATTATTTTATATTTCTAATTACTGTAAAACATTCTTTTCATTATAGGCTTGTTTTATATTCTTAATGCGATTATCATATGAAAAGTCGCATGCCAATATCAGGTTTCAATAATCACGACACTTTTCTGTTTTATTTTATAATTTTCAACGAAGATAACTATGGCAGTACTTATAGTCGTAGAATCTCAGATATTAGACTGATTTATTAATAATTACAATTTCTTTCCAATAAAAAGTAGCAAATTTTAACAACCAATATATTATATATTATAGGTATTTATATGTCTACCCACTTTATTATCCCGATAAGCATTTAAAGTGCTTAACCTATATCTAAATTTTTATCACGACTACATGTACATAGTAATCCCGATTTAATATATATACTACATA